TGCCACTTCAAATTAATAACTGGCAAAAATGCTAAAAGGAAGGAATTTGCTTGAAATATTTGCTTCAAAGCAAACAGTGGAGTTAATTAATCATCACAGAATTATAACTGGATCCAAAGCTTCTGCCATGTTTTCATTGTTCCCAGGCCTTGGGAAAAGCTGCTTTTTCTTCCCTTAATGCCACTCTGGGGTCACTGATTCGAGCTCAGCTCTGCTCGTGGGGCAAAGGCAAGTGCTGGGCTCTCAAATTAAAACCCTCCTGAGGTTTGTCCTCCCACTTTTCATCCTCTTCATGCTTCAGGCTCATTTCTAAACAAGTCCCAGTGGCAGAGGTCACCCAGTTTGGGCACTACTTGGGGGGAGAATGGGCAGGGAATCCCATCCCACTTGTCACTTTTCCATTAGATACCACTGAAAAAACTCTGCTCTCACGAGGGGACCCTTGGCTGGATTCTGCTTTGGAATTGGAGTCCCTCTCCTGTGGGCAAACCCTTCAGCTCAGCTGAGATTCCCAGTGCCAGGAAAACTGCATTTCAAGCACAGGGGGCTCTTGCTGGTGGGAAATAAAGGAAGACACCTCAGGGCTGACCAGCTCCCTTCATTTAACAGATGCTGGTTTTTGGAAGGATTTTGCCCTTTCCAGACCCGTGGGACACATGGAACAGGGACATCAGCAGGTCCTGACACTTTATTTTCTTGTCTCAGGAGTATTGTACAGCAGAGCAAAGCTGTACACAACCCCAGCTGAGACACATCCAGCCAGGAGCCTCCTCCTCTCCAAACACAGTGAGGGGGTTGAGGTGGGTGTTGGAGGCACCAAAGCACGAGTAGTTACACAGGCTCTGGCACTTTGCATCTCCAAACTCCTGCTGGAGCACTCTGAATACTTCAAGGAGTTTTAGAGCTGTCTTTCTTGATTTCCCTCCACTCACTGTCCCTCCTTCAGCACACAGAAAACATCTCTGCTACAGGCAAAGGTGTCCAAAACCACTAGTAAAATCATGCCCTGATGCCACCAAGCTTTGCAGGTACCAGCCAGACAGTGAAAATGAAGCTTTTGGCCCAGGACAGGTAAATAAGTCCTAAAAAATCCAGCATACAAATAGGGCTGAGGAGGAATAACATCCAGAAGTGACACTTGCAAAGGCTGATGTTTTAATTGCAAGTGGCACAGGGACATAAAAAGAGGCAGAAATAAAAGTCCTACAAGATTATAATGCCCTTTATCAGGTATTGCTCTAGGACTGAGCTAAAGCATGCATTGGTAGCAGCCTTTACTCCACAGTAATTTCCTGCATCAATAGTCTGAAGCAACTCTGTGCTGGACACCTTTCACTGAACAGAAAGTGAAATCAGTGGGTAAAACCAGTGTGTACATCACCCAAATCAACATGGTCACTGCCCAGAGTAGCATAGCCCATATTAAAGAGCAAGGCTACACCTAAAAACTGTAGACAAGCCCTCTAAAGCAAAGTGTGTCCTAAGATGTGTTTGGTGGGCAGGTCAGCTCTGAATTCATATGCTGCCAACACCAGGTGAACGACCCCAACACTGGCTCCAATACAGTAAATTTTGTCTCTAATATAGTAAATTACTGGCATATATAAAAGACCCAAAAGACCCCAAGGCATGTGGACAGAAACTGTTGTTGCCCCAAGCTGCCAGTCCGTGAGCTGGAGAGGAAAGTGGAGGGATAAACTGAGCGAGGCCACACAGGGCAGGGGGGCAGAGGATGGAAAATAAAGGTGGAGACCCTCAGTGGGGGGGTGTCAGTTTGGGGGCTGAGATCAGGGGCTGGCAGAGCCTGATTTACTTCAACTGAACAAGGTGTCTTGGCCCCTGAGGCCCCACCATAAATACAGCCCAGCTTCTCTCAGCCAGAATCTCCAAAGCAGTCGTATAAATTGTGCCTCCTCGTAGAGAGGTGTTTTCAAAGGGAGAAACAAATAAAATAAATATTTGAAGACTTCTCTCAGTTGCAGGTACATTTCCACGTTTTACTTCCATGGAAAAATGCTGCCAGGCTCCTACCCCCAGCTCTGCCCAAAGCAAACCTCTTCATTTCAGGTGGTTACTTCCACACGGACAAGGTGATTGCAAACTCCTGGGAGAGAGTTACCTCCTCCCCTGCCAGATTGAGAGGACAAGCTTCTTAAAAAGGAAAAAAAAGAATAATTTTTTAAGGATCTTTAAAGAAAGACTTAACACTCAGGACTCATTCCATCAGCAGCTTTCCCGTGTTGCAGTTGTTATAAACATCTTCCCTGCAACAGTCTGAGTAACAACAGACAGACAGTGAGATAATTCCTCAGTGCTTTGGAGCTCCACCAGCACTGAACAAACAAAAGATGATTGCAAACTTTGAATCACCTCCCCAGGCCTCTTTTATCTACTTCTCACCTATTACAACAGCTTTAAAGAGAAGCATATGAATGACACCAGCATGTGGATTAATGAACGCTGGAAAATATTCTTAGAGTGCGGTGCAGAGGCTGAGAACATCAGCAGGATATTAAACAGGAAGAAAAAGTGGTTTTGCAAAGTATGCCTGTGATAAACTCTAGGAAAGAGGAAAATACAGTTTGGTATGGATGTAAGATGACATCTTTTATTTCCTGGAAAAGCACTGGGGGTGTACTGGGGATGGAAAGCCACATCCCTGACAAAGCAGCTGATCCTACTCCCAGGAGAAGCAGTTTCCCTGTGTCCCATTCCGTGCCTGGCTCCAGCAAACTGGCCAGGCTCTGTAAACCTGGGTCAGAAGGCTGAGCAACGACCCACTGTACCCTCCCAGGGCACACACAGCCCCCAGGACAGGGAATATTTCAGCTAAACCCTGATCCCACAGCCCGGGGTTCACACACCACCTTGCCCACACTGTTTTCTCCAAAGGGAAAAGCCCTTCTTGTTCTGAGGAGAATCAGTGATTTATGGCTTTTATTGACAGCTCTAAACAGGGAGACTCAAAGTGTGAGCTGACCCAGCAGCAGCTTTTAAGCCAGGACTTACTGTTCAGTAGTTCACCAAGAGCCACCCAGGAAGGTTTTAACCCCCTTCACTGCCCATAAGGGACAAACAGCCAACAGTGCCCTGCAACCTCCCACATTCTCTTGGAATTATTCCTCTCCAATTTTTCTTTCTGCTGTTTTATCCCCCTCTGGAAGTCCTGTCCCCTTGGAGGCCCCTAACCCACCTTTCCCTGTGGATACAGGGACCTCTCAACTGCTCTCAGTCAACTTCCATAGTCCAATTTTAAAAACTGCTCAGTTGAGCCATTCACACTTTGTCACTTTAATGTCTCCTTATAAATCAAGCCCTCAATCTCCATCACTTTTGCTGTCCTTCCAGAGCAGTCTGTTCCTCAGTTTCTATTCTCTTTGGCAAGCTGATAAAAGGCAATAGCAAATATTTGCACGTGTCCTGCAGTTTGCAAATTGTAGCAGCAGCTTTGTTGTGTCTTGAGGTGTGTTCTGGTGTTTCCTCTGCCTGTTCACTGCATTCTCATGTTTAAAAACCTCACTAACCTTCCAGGCGGGAAAAGATCACCAGGTAATCAAAATACTGAATACTGAAAAGGTCAACATAATGCTGTACAGAACCTGAGCTACCACAATGTATTAGGTATTAAAATTATTGTATCTTGCACTTCAGAGAAAGAGCAAGGGACAAAAAGAGCAAAGGATGGAGCATTAATCCACTGAGTGTCAAAGACAGCAATGAAAAGGAGAAAGACACGGTCTGGAACACACACTGAATCTTTTCATTCAGTTTTTGTTTGTTTTAATTTTTCCTAAAGAGGGTTTTCCCCCTTTCTTTTCTGAGATGAATATTAAGAATAAAGCAGCTGTCCAAAAAGATCTGAAATAGGGGAGAAATTCTGGCCTGGAATAGAACGAGTTGGAAGACTCTGCTACAAATAAATTGAGATATTTATTCCAGTATTTGTTACTGACAGTGCTCTTTTTGTGATGCTGGTCCTACAGCAAAAGGAGACATGGCAAGAAAGGACCTTTCCCACTGAGGTTTTTAACTGCACCAGCCAGGGCAGTGATGGAGGAGGTTTTGTTATTCATGCTCAGGAAACAAGGGCTATGAATTTGCTGAAATTCCTCCAGAGGGTTTCAACAGCACAGACACAGGAGTTGCATTTGCATTAAACAATGGCTGAATAAATAAATCAGCATTTCCAGCAATTAGTCAGCACTGGGATTGTTGCCTCGTGATGGGTAATGTAACACCATGTCCAGGGGGCAAAAACTGAAATTCTCCATGAAAAGTGTAGCCAAAATTGCTTTACTGTTATTTTTTTTTTTTTAAAGGGAATAAAAGTTGCAACACTTTCAAAGTAAAAAGGAAAGTTGTTTTGCCACTTCAAACTGCTACAAAAGAGTTGAAGTGTGTAAACATCAACCCAGAAAACCTCAAAACATCTCAGGGTTGTGATTCCAGCTTTTTGTTACGTCGTATTTTTGTTCCAGGGAACAGAAAATATTTTTTAGCTGTTGAAACACACGCGAAAAGTCGATTTTTAAGATGTTTACAGAAGAGAATTTATCCACAGCTTTTTTCAACAATGACAAGTTCTAAGTAAAATAAAAAATTAACGGTTTATTCAACAGAACAGATTCTGGCTCATCCATCCTGCTGCAAGGGGCATTTAAGGGCACATTTGTGACACACACGTTTCTCCTCCCAGCCCTGCCCTTTGGTTGAAGTGTTTACAAGGTCAAAAACGCTCTAAATGCAGATTTACGTGTGTTTCTGGGGCTGGCAAGGCAAGTGACAGCTCGGAGGCTGCAAAGGGACCTGCTGGATGGATGGACCGAGTCCCTTGGCCACACATCTGTTACACCCTGGAAGCTCAGCACGGGAAGATGGAGAGGCAGTGGCAGCAAACCAGCACTCCATTCATCAATTAACTTCATTTTTCAGAGCAGCATAATGAATATCCCAGGGAGTGGTTAATGCCAAGCACAGGAAATAGAGTGGAGCAAACTTACACTTGGGAATGAGGGTCTGGAGCAGCTTTCTGCAAAATGCTGCTCCCCTGGCCAACAACACATCCTGCCCAGGAGAATCAGCTGCTTCTGGAAGACAAGAGAGGTCACGATGTCACAGGATGAGTGAAGAACATGCTGCTCTGAATTTTGGCTTCTTAATCATAGAATCATAGAATCATAGAATCATAGAATCATAGAATCAGCTGAGTTGGAAGGGACCTCAGAGATCATCAAGTCCAACCCTGGATCCAACCCCGCCGTGGTTCCCAGCCCATGGCACTGATGCCACATCCAGGCTCACCTTAAAAACCTCCAGGGATGGAGAATCCACCCCTTCCCTGGGCAGCCCATTCCAAGGGCTGAGCACCCTCTCTGCAAAGAAATTCTTCCTAATCTCCAACCTAACCCTCCCCTGGCACAGCTGAAGCCCGAGCCCTCTTGTCTTGCTGATGGTTGCCTGGGAAAAGAGACCAACCCCCAGCTGGCTCCCCCCTCCTGTCAGGGAGTTGCAGAGAGTGAGGAGGTCTCCCCTGAGCCTCCTCTTCTCCAGGCTGAAAATGAGGGTGAGGGGACAAACCCAGGAGCACTCTGTGCTGAGAACTGGCTCTCCCAGGTCCCTTTGGCCATCCCAGGGAAAGGTTTAGCTTTCATTTCAGACAAATCCAAGCAGCAAAACACAAGCTGGAGGTGTCGGCCCAAGTGGTGGTCTGAAATATAAAAGCTAGACATGATTCCAGTATGGAGAAACTGGAATGCTTTATTGAACATGAGAACACAATTTTAAAGTCATTTGGGGCTGGACGTGTTAATGAAGGGGACAACCTGTGTTAATTGGGGAGTTACACAAGTTTTTACTGCAATTTCCAAATAGTTAATTTTTCTTCAAGCAGGATGACATGGGGGATAGAGGGATTGCAGGGGTTTAGACATGGTTTTGACAATCATCTCAAAAAGTTCTTTCTTAATTCTTCTTGGAGCCAAGTTCATATCTCAGGGTTGCACATCAACAGGTCTCAGGACAAGGGTCCGAATTTCTTCGGATCACGAGATCTTTGTCAGCCTTTTTTTCCAAGGTTTGTGATTCAAATTTACCGAGCTTCCTTTTGCTGAGAGCTGGTTTTTGTCCCCTTCAGGCCCAGGCTTGCAGGGTTGGACAGCCCTGTTCATGAGGGTTACACCTGCAGTGGTCACTCCTGCCCTGGAACAGCCCCCGGGGCCATGAGCAGGTTATTCACAGACCCAACTTGATTGGTTTTGATGAGCTGGATATTTATCCACTTCCCTCTCTCTGAGGTGTCACAGCTTGCTTGTAGATGTCCTGTGAGATCCTTGAAAATGCCAGCCCAAGATGATGCTGGGAGACTTCTCCAAACACAGAAACTTTCTCTTTCCACAGTAAGTGAGGAATCATAGGATCGTGGAGGGTTTGGATGGGAAAGGACCTTAAAAAGCCCCTCCAGTCCCACCCCCTGCCATGGGCAGGGACACCTCCCACTAGCCCAGGTTGCTCCAAGCCCTGTCCAACCTGGCCTTGGACACTTCCAGGGATGGGGCAGCCACAGCTTCTCTGGGAATTCCATCCCACCCCCTCACTGCCCTCACAGGGAAGAATTTTTTCCTCAAGTCCAACCTAAACCTACTCTCTTTCAGAACCTAAACCTGCTCTCTTTCAGTTTGAAAACTGAAACCATTTGTGCTGCAACTGAAGAACCCCAGCAGAATTTTGTCCCAAAATCTGACTCCTCTCCACATTTTTCTTCATTAGAATATATTAAAAAAAAAAAAAAAAGACAAAAAGGCAACATTACCATGATTTGTGTTTGCCTTTGATGCTTTGTTTGATTTCAATCACTTTCCCCTTCACTCCTCAGATAATGGCTCATTAATAATTTCTTTTTGGAAATTGCAGTTAAATAAGAGTGGAAACAGACACAGTAAATTTCTAGATAAGTAACTTGAGACGATACCATCAATAAAATCCTGGGAGGCAATAATGTTACCATATTAAATTTACAGCATCTGGTTAAACAATCTTTCCCTTCCTTCACTATTCCAAATGTTGCTTCAGGATATCTTTTTATAGAGGATAATTTGTGCTTTTATGGTGGGACTGTAAACAGGCAGGGAAACTCATATTTTGGTGCATTCCACATGCTGGGTTCCACTTCGTGGAGTCTTTCAATAAAACCTCATGCCCTCTTCCAGCTTCAAAACTGGAACTGCAGGAATTTCCTTTCCATTATTCCCAGGCTTGATGGTGCACAAAGACAGGGATGTGTTAGCAGGACACAGGGAAAAACAGGAGCATGGTATAAAGACCTGAAGAAAAATCCCTCTGAGCCAAAATCTTTAGTTTTAGGGGGGAAACAGCACTGAGAAAAGGATGGTTTATCCTGAAAGGGATTAAATGTGGCCTTAAAACCCAGGGAAGCAAGATGGTGGGTTTAAATAATGCCAGAATCCTGAGCCTTGCTCCATCCCTCCCCTACCTGTCAGAACCTCCTGCCACTGTCACAGTTTTGGGACAAGAGCAGTGATTCACCAGCCAGGCTTAACAGTCTCCTAAACCCAAAGAGCCAGTATTTATGTCCCAGGTATCCAGGATTGTTGATATTGGGGAAAAAATAAAAGGAAATGGAGGATATTGACTCTGGGGTTTATTTTTATTGTTCTCATTGATCCTGGGAATTAGGAAGGGAACTCTGAAAGAGCCTGGATTGCTCTGCCTTCAGGTTCATAGGGTGCTCTGCCCCAGGGGGATGAATCCTACAGGATTTAAAGAAAATTAAATCAAAAAATCCATAATGCAACTTCATTTCATAGTCACTACCAAGGTGTCAGACTTGGCTGATGGGTTGGAAAAAAAAAAAAGCAGCTACTGTTTTTCTTCCAAAATAACTGGGTCTTTCAATAGTTTTAACAGAAGTTGAATGAAATATTTTTGAACAAAAAAAGCCTCCTTTTCAAATTTTTAAAGCCCAAAATTAGGAATGTGCATGTTTAAATGAACATTTTCCCTAACCTGATAGGCAGCAGTTTCATGCTCGGGGGACACATTTCACGTGGTTAATTTGAGAGAGAGCCCAGAGATGTCAGGAGAGAAAAAGGAGGAAAAAAAAACAAACTAATGGGCTATTCATGACTTGGTAATTTGTTGTGGTTGTTGCAAACCTGAAAGAAAAATCTATTTTCTTATTGACAGTTTTCTCTCTCCCAGGAGTGGATATTCTGCTTTATTGCCGGCGGTTTGTCTGTTGTGGGCTCTGCCATTGATTTCTCCGGGTTTGGTAAGAGTGAAACCTATTAATTTGGGGAAAACAGCATGAAATATTGCATTAAAAAATACCATAAAACCAGGCTTTGGGGACAAGGTTGCATTCCTTCAATATTTGTAAGTAGAAAAATTTAGGCAGCTGTCAAAGAGTATCCGAAGATCAGAGAGGATCATCCATATGGTGCCTGGGCAGCTCGGATGGATTTGAGGATCAGGGTCCTGGGAATTTGCATGGCCACATGCAAGAATAACAGGAGTTATGCCATGGTTCTGTCAGCCCTGTTTTGTGCCAGGGAAGAGTAATCCTTGAGTAATTTCTCCAAGGACAGGGTTCCCTGGGTATTCATCAACCCTCGGTTGATTTTTCACACCATTCCAGACTAAAAATATGTATTTATGCTTCAAGCCCACTGAGTGATTTGGGATGAAGCTGGAAGTTCAGTTCCCTCAGCCTTATTTTAGCCTGTCCTGTTCATCTTGGGTGAATTCCACTGGATTTGGTTCCTCAGGCACCCAAAGCAGGTTAAGACATTCCCATTTTCTCTCCTTTTCTCCCCAGTCCTTCCCATCTGGATCTGTGGTGCTCTCACATCCCATGTGCTTCCAGACCTCTCCAACAGCCTCAGCTCGTGCTCCAAAGTGCTTGAAAAGCACAGGAATTGGGGGGGCATGATTTCCCTACAGCTACAGGTGCTTTTTCCATCTGAAATACTGATCTTTTCTTAAAAAGAGTTGAAAAAAAATAATGAAGATTAAGGTAACGAAACCCTGTCTTGGATTTGGCATAAAGACATTTCTGTTTCATTTACTGCCTTTTGTTTGCTCTTCAAAAAATTCAGGGGGTTCAATCCCCTATTGTAAGAATCCCCATTATAAAAATAATTACATAAATGTAAAATTATATAAATTTATAAATTTAGTTAAAATATATAGTGACTTATATTCACATTTATATATTACATAAATACTAGATTTTTAAAATGCAACATTTACATATAATATTAATGACTTATATTATAATATATACTTTTAATATAATATTAATTCTATATAATGTATACTAAAAGATATAATTATATTAATAATAAATATTCATTTATATTTTATATAATTCTATATTAAGTATTAAATTTAACGTTAAATTTTATATAATTTTTGATATAATTTATATTTTAGAAATTTATACAAATTTAAATTTAAATCAGTTATATAAATTCCCATTATAAAAGTGATATTAAGAAGTGAAATTCCCATTATAATATGCTAAAAACTGAGCCCTAAACATTTAAATAACACACTTAAAGAAAGCAGGAAGAGTAAACACATTCTAGTGAAACCCTGATAAAAGAATTCACTTCCCAAAGCATTTTGTTCCCAGATCTGCCCATTTTTCCTGTGTTTTACTCCAGCTAGTGAGCAGTGATAAAAATTCCAGAGGCTCATACCCACATACCTCCCCTGCAAATTAAACCATTAATGAATTGGAGTTGTTTCTTTTCCTCATGACAATTTTAGTACTATTTGACCTGGATATTTCTGGGAGCGCGAGGCTGAATAAATCTCATTTCTGTCATGTCAGCAAAGCCCAACAGGGTAAGAGCAGTTTTGAACAGCAGGTCCAGCAATTCCACTCCTGACAAGCAAAGCAATACATTCCCTGTGGGAAAAGGGAGGCAAAGGAAACCAGACTGACACAGGACCTTTAGGATCACTAAAGGGGAACTAAAGGGGAATAGATGTGACACCAAGCTGGGGGGAGTGTGGATCTGCTGGAGGGCAGGAGGGCTCTGCAGAGGGACCTGGACAGGCTGGATCCATGGGCTGATTCCAAGGGGATGAGGTTCACCAAGGCCAAGGGCCGGGTCCTGCCCTTTGGCCACAACAACCCCCGGCAGCCCCACGGGCTGGGCCAGAGTGGGGGGACAGAAAGGGACCTGGGGGGACTGACTGACAGCAGCTGAACATGAGCCAGGGGGGCCCAGGGGGGCAAGAGGCCACTGGAGCCTGGCCTGGCTCAGGAATAGTGTGGCAGCAGGAGCAGGGCAGGGATTGTGCCCCTGCCCTGGGCACTGGGGAGGCCACCCCTGGAGTGCTGGGCCCAGCTCTGGGCCCTCAGTTTGGGAAGGATGTTGAGGGGCTGGAGCAGGTGCAGAGAAGGTAACGAGGCTGGGGAAGAGTGTGGAGCACAAGTGCTGTGAGGAGCAGCTGAGGGAGCTGGGGGGGCTCAGCCTGGAGAGGAGGAGGCTCAGGGGAGACCTTCTCATTCTCTGCAGCTCCCTGCCAGGAGGGGGGAGCCGGGGGGAGGGTCGGGCTCTGCTGCCAGGAACCAGCAGTAGGACAAGAGGGCACAGCCTGGAGCTGCCCCAGGGCAGGTTTAGGTTGGCCATGGGGAAGAAGTTCTTCCCAGAGAGAGGGATGAGCCCTTGGAATGGGCTGCCCAGGGAGGGGGTGGAGTCCCCGTCCCTGGAGGGGTTTAAGCTGAG